CCCAAGTCTACCAAACAAACTTCTAAAAGCTGAACCCCCGGGACGTGTCCACTCACGGGGGCCAAGCGGGGAGTACCACCAACAGAAAATACCGAAATAAAAACACCTAGAACAGTAAAGGGGGACCATAAAGGCAGACCTCCCCCCCCCCACCAGGCAAAAACAAAAACAAAAGAAAAACCCCGCAAGAGGACAACGTACCCAGGCGGAACAGAGCCGGCCGCTGTTATTGGTGAAAACTAGCTGTGCGGTACCCCGCGCCCCTACCAGTGACGAAAACTACCACCTACCCAGAGACAAACCAGGGCAACAAAACCCCAGCTGACTCCAAGGGCGGCCCAGTACCGAGCAGTAAAGGACACAGCGGAGGTAGAACCCAAGGTGACTTGTGGAAAGTGGCCCCAAGCCCCAAGGGCAGTACTTACAGGGCACTTACGGAAGATAGGCTTAGGCACATGCAGCCCGAGTACCGAGGAATCTCACTCCTGGCTCACACCCCACCGGTAGAGACAGTCCACACCACAAGGCACAGAACTGAAACAAAAACCGGAGCCAGAGGCACTCGACCGGCCAGTAATTCCATCAGCCAAGAACTGCCAGTTGGATCGCCGGCGTGGAGGGTCTGGGGCTTCCCCTTCCCCCTCCCGGGGAGGGGGGGGAGGTTGCGCAGACAGTGGCGCGGCGACGTGATGACGTCATGCTAGTTTGATAATTTTGTTTGGGGAGTTCCGTCAACTCATTCAGCTTTCGTAGCAATATTTTCACCAGAATAGGGGTTTGTTTTGGGGCACCTACCTTTCTGGGTGCCTATCCCGGTCGATGGTAGACAGACTGCTCCCAACCACAGGGGGGTTTCTATAGGCCATTGCTCCTCGTGCCTCTCTGAGGGGGCCAGGTTCTGGCTCGTGGTCCCCGGTAGGCAAGAACTCCTAGACAATTGGATGCAATTGCTGACCCAATGCAAAGCAGACCCTACCAGGTCCAGGGACACTGACAAGGTAGCGAGCGGCTAGGACCTTGTTTGACCTCCAAAAACCTCGTGCCCGAATGTCAACCCAAGATATGTTGCCAAAGACGGCAGCCAAAGCAGAAAACTTACAAACGTCGTGGACACGGGGATAGACCGCAGGCTGGCTAGACTTATTAATCCTGTGGATGACCTGGGAGACGCAAGCTTGGGAACAGGGAAGGAGGGAAACCAGGTCAACCCAAAGCGCATCCCCGGCCACCAAAGCAAATAACTGTGGAGAGCCGCAACCGGACACAACATATGAGTCACTCCCGGCCTGACCAACAAAGCATCAACAACTCAAGGACCCCACCGGAAAGCAGCAGTCTCATTCTTCGCCAGAAAAGGAGGAGACAGCTGCAAAAAAACAAACCTATCACCAGGACTGAAAGAGCAGAAACCCCTGTGCCAGAGGAGAGCATGAAGCTCTCTGACTCAACCCCCAGAGGCCAATGCCAACAGGAAAAGGGCCTTAGAAAAACAAAGGGGGGCACTACAAATCGAGGAGAAGAGAGAAAAGAGAGCACCCAGTCCAAAGACTAGGATGGCTCAGGAGGAGAATGAGTAGGCCAGAAGTGAAACAACGCACGAGACAGCTTGCGGAATTGGGGCAGAAGTAATGTCAATACCAAACACAAACTGGAGCGGCTCCGCCAGCGCTGCACAATAAAGAAAGATAAATAATATTTCTCTGATGAAGAAAGAGATCTAGGGGTGGTTCTAGATAGAAAACTATCACCTGAGGACCACATAAAGAATATTGTGTAAGGAGCCTATGCTACACTTTCTAACTTCAGAATTGCTTTTAAATACATGGATGGCGATATCCTAAAGAAATTGTTCACGACTTTTGTTAGGCCAAAACTAGAATATGCAGCGGTTGTGTGGTGCCCATATCTTAAGAAACACATCAACAAACTGGAAAAGGTGCAAAGACATGCTACTAAGTGGCTCCCAGAACTGAAGGGCAAGAGCTACGAAGAGAGGTTAGAGGCATTAAATATGCCAAAACTGGAAGACAGAAGAAAAAGAGGTGATATGATCACTACATACAAAATAATAACAGGAATTGATAAAATCGATAGGGAAGATTTCCTGAGACCTGGAACTTTACGAACAAGAGGTCATAGATTTAAACTAGCTAAACACAGATGCCGAAGAAATATAAGAAAATTCACCTTCGCAAATAGAGTGGTAGACGGTTGGAACAAGTTAGGTGAGAAGGTGGTGGAGGCCAAGACCGTCAGTAGTTTCAAAGCGTTATATGACAAAGAGTGCTGGGAAGACGGGACACCACGAGCGTAGCTCTCATCCTGTAACTACACTTAGGTAATTACACTTAGGTAATTACAATACGAGTTGACAGTATTCGGCATAAGTTGACAGTCATGGAACAACCACGAAAGGAAGGACAAGACAACCTTATCAGAGACCGAAGTATACTTACACAGTGATGGGAAAAACCGGAAGGACCGCCAGGAAACTTCATACTGCTGCCAAAACGAAGCAGGCTGGTGGGAGACGAACAACGAAGCCACCTGCGTTCTATACAAGTGATGATAGACTTGAGTCAGAAACTCCAGACATGAAGATTCGAGGAGAAGAACGAACCAGCCTCATACCGGGCTGGACCGATCTGCTGAAAGATCGGTCAAGAAAAGATCGAGGGAAGATCCTCGGGTTCAAACACTGAGCAAGCAGCGCCTGAAACCAAGGCTGGGCCAGCCACCATAGAGCTAGAAGGACAACTTTCCCCTGGTAAGTCTCCAAGCGAGCCAGGACTTGGAGAAACAGCTGAACCAGGAGAAAGAGGTACAGGTAACCCCACCTTGCCCAGTCCTGCCTGAATGCCCCCAACGGCCTCACAGTCGGGGAAGGGCGCCACGTATACCAGGAGATGCCTCGACCACGCCGACGCGAAAAAATCCACTTCTGGAGGCCCGAATGTCTGGCACAGCCAGCTGAACGAGTTGGCGTTGACCGTCCATTCCGTGGACTGGGGAATGAACCGGGACAGGCCGTCAGCCAGGACACTGGACCTTTCCTCCCTGAATGTGAACCGCCAGGAGAGCCAAACTCCGAGGACTCAGCAGACGAGTCACTCAAAGCGACTAACCCCAAAGAGCCAAGGACCGCATGGAACCCCCCCTCGATTCAGGCAATGAACCACCGAGGAACAGTCTGATTGGAGCGGGATCGTTGATCTGCGGGCGATCCGAATCCTCCCACAAGCACTGGTTACAAAGTTCCAGCCAAGAGATGACACATCCGTAAACACATCGAGCGAGGGCTTGGATAGGTGTCAAGACATTTGAACCCCGAAAAACCTTAAGAGGATGCCGGTGACGCAGCAACCAATGCAAAGGCCCTGGAGGCCGAACCCAGCGTTTGCAAGAGAGGCAGAAGGGACGTCTATCCATGGGTCAATGGACACCATCCAAGCGCCCGGCTCCAACAGAAGACGGACCCGGGACAAAGTAGTCATCCAAAAGCAGGGGCAATAAATCCACAGGTTCAGACGGGACAAGTCCAGAATGAACAGGAGGTCTGCACAGTCCCGTCTCGAGACCAGAAACAGGTCTCGACTACAACTACCTACTACTACAACTTGGTTACAACTACCCAACACTGGGAAGGGATCAGGATAAGGATTTGGGATGGGATGGGGAGGAATGGTGCCAAACCACTCGGACGGTCGGGGATTGAACGCCTAGGACTGCTACTGTGCATTTAAATTACTAACTTACCTGAGAGTCTATATCTCTACATGTCAATGGCAATAAATCCACAGGTTCAGACGGGACAAGTCCAGAATGAACAGGAGGTCTGCACAGTCCCGTCTCGAGACCAGAAACAGGCAGGAAACCTACCTGAGAGACGAAGTTGTTTTGACCACGCCCAAGTGAACCTACTCCAAGATGACTCTACAGAGTGCAGGAGAAGAGGTCTGCCCCGCCAGCCCCAAACCCCCTGAAGAAGGAGGAGTCATCCAACGCCACCACAGGCCGCACGAAACAACCCGAAAGACCCACAAATTGTGGGATCAGGCACGAGCCCCCCCCCCCCCCATCACCTTTTAAAAGTTACTTTAAACTCATCATCATTAATATTAACGTGTACAATGAAATTACATTAATGTGATGCATCAGTGAGAAAATCAGGAGTAGGATTTGGGAAACCATAAGAAGGATTTGGATCCTCCCTTATGACTCCTACTGATTTTCTCATTAATATGTTAGTATAATTCACTGAGTAATACTGTATACATTTTATTTAATGCAAAATGCAGCAAAACCAATGCTACATAAATAATATTCAGATGACCTAAGTATATTGGTATTTCTACGCTTCTTTACCTGGTAGAGACCAAAACCTACTCTTCTTTACCTGGTAGAGACCAAAACCTACTCTTCTTTACCTGGGAGACCAAAACCTACTCTTCTTTACCTGGGAGACCAAAACCTACTCTTCTTTACCTGGGAGACCAAAACCTACTCTTCTTTACCTGGGAGACCAAAACCTACTCTTCTTTACCTGGGAGACCAAAACCTACTCTTCTTTACCTGGGAGACCAAAACCTACTCTTCTTTACCTGGGAGAGACCAAAACCTACTCTTCTTTACCTGGGAGACCAAAACCTACTCTTCTTTACCTGGGAGACCAAAACCTACTCTTCTTTACCTGGGAGGCCAAAACCTACTCTTCTTTACCTGGGAGAGACCAAAATCTACTCTTCTTTACCTGGGAGACCAAAATCTACTCTTCTTTACCTGGGAGAGACCAAAACCTACTCTTCTTTACCTGGGAGACCAAAACCTACTCTTCTTTACCTGGGAGACCAAAACCTACTCTTCTTTACCTGGGAGAGACCAAAATCTACTCTTCTTTACCTGGGAGAGACCAAAACCTACTCTTCTTTACTGGGAAAAACAAAATTCAGTACAGTGACTCTCAGTACAGCTGTACTTTAGTACGGTCAAATGTGTCTCACCTCAAGTGCTTTGAGCATCGCATTGGCAAAAGCGTCGGCATCGTCCTTGCTGGAGAAATTTAAACCATAAACTTGGCGGTTGTCCCTCCACTGGTGGAAGGTGACGGTCGCTTGATTATACTTAAGACCCTTCAGGATGGCACAGTTGATCACAACCTGTAATATTACAACAAGTACCCATTACACACAGTCCAATACACAGCCCATTACAAGTACCCATTACATACACAGTCCACTACACAGCCCATTACAACACATGTCCAAAACACACAGTCCATTACACAGTCCCTGCAGCCCGGTCCCCGACCACGCCACCTGGTTGTTGGACTGCTCAACCAGGCTGTTGGATGCGGTTGCTCTGCCAGTTATGCCCATTATGTGTAGTGGAAGCGTGTTGAACAGTCTCGGGCCTCTGATGTTGATAGTTCTCTCTTGAACACTGTGAGGGGTCGGCCAGTTATGCCCATTATGTGTAGTGGAAGCGTGTTGAACAGTCTCGGGCCTCTGATGTTGATAGTTCTCTCTTGAACACTGTGAGGGGTCGGCCAGTTATGTCCCTTATGTGTAGTGGAAGCGTGTTGAACAGTCTCGGGCCTCTGATGCTGATAGAGTTCTCTCTCAGAGTACCTGTTGCACCTCTGCTTTTCAACTGGGTATTCCGCACATCCTGCCATGCCTTCTGGTCTCATGTGGTGTTCTTTCTGTGTGCAGGTTTGGGACCAGCTACTCTAATATTTTCCATGTGTAAATTATTATGTATTTTCCCCTGCCTGCGTTCAAGAGAAAATTCAGATTTAGGCATTTTAGTCGGTTCGAATAGTTTAGATGTTTTACCGAGTGGATTCTAGCAGTAAAGGATCTCTGCACACTCTACAGGTCAGCACTTGGTTTACCTGGTTCATGGGGTTCTGGGAGCTTGGTCCACCAGGCTGTTGCTTGGAGCGGCCCGCAGGCCCACATATACCTGCTTGATGGGGTTCTGGGAGTTCTTCTACTCCCCAAGCCCGGCCCGAGGCCAGGCTTGACTTGTGAGAGTTTGGTCCACCAGGCTGTTGCTTGGAGTGGCCCGCAGGCCCACATATACCTGCTTGATGGGGTTCTGGGAGTTCTTCTACTGCCCAAGCCCGGCCCGAGGCCAGGCTTGACTTGTGAGAGTTTGGTCCATCAGGCTGTTGCTTGGAGCAGCCCACAGGCCCAAATACCGACCACAGCCCGGTTGGTCCGGAACTTCTTTTACAAAACATTCTAGATTTCTCTTGAAGATGTCCACGGTTATTCTGGCAATATTTCTTATACTGTAGTCACTGAGAAGACGTTGAACAGCCACTGACCTCTGATGTTTATACAGTGTTCTCTGATTGTGCCTATGGCATCTCTGCTCTTCACTGGTTCTATTTTGCATTTTATTCCATATTGTTCACTCCAGTACGTTGTTATTTTACTGTGTAGATTAGGGACCTGGCCTTCCAGTATTTTCCATGTGTATATTATTTGGTATCTCTCTCGTCTCCTTCCTAGTGAGTACATTTGGAGAGCTTTGAGACGATCCCAATAATTTAGGTGCTTTATCGCGTCTATGCGTGCCATATATGTTCTCTGTATTCCCTCTATTTCAGCAATCTCTCCTGCTCTGAAGGGGGAAGTGAGTACTGAGCAGTACGCGAGACAGGACAACACAGTTGACTTGAAGAGTACAACCATCGGTATGGGATTCCTGAATTTGAAAGTTCTCGTAATCCATCTTATCATTTTTCTGGCTGACGCAATATTTGTTTGGTTATGCTCCCTAAACATTAGATCGTCGGACATCATTATTCCTAAAACTTTGACATGCTGTTTACCTATTATGGGCAGATTTGATTGTGTTTTGTACCTTGTATTATGTTTCAGGTCCTCATTTTTGTCGTACTTAGTACCTGGAATTTATCGCTGTTAAACATCATGTTATTTTCTGCTGCCCAATCGAAAACTTTGTTGATATCTGCTTGTAATTTTTCCATGTCTTCAGCAGAGGTAATTTTCATGCTGATTTTTGTGTCATCTTCAAAGGATGACACAAAGCTGTGACTTTTATTTTTATCTATATCTGATATGAGAATAAGGAACAGCAGTGGTGCAAGGACTGTACCTTGAGGTACAGAGCTTTTAACTGTGCTTGGTCTTGATTTTATTTGATTGACTTACTCTTTGTGTTCTGTTCGACAGGAAATTGAGTATCCAGCGTCCTACTTTACCAGTTATTCCCACTGACCTCATTTTGTGTGCAATCACTCCATGATCACATTTGTCGAATGCCTTTGAAAAGTCTGTGTATATTACATCTGCATTTTGCTTTTCTTCTAGAGCTTCTGTGATTTTGTCATAATGGTTGAGTAACTGTGACAGACAGGATCTTCCCACTCTAAATCCATGTTGTCCTGGGTTGTTTAACTCATTATTTTCCATAAAACTAGAAATTTGATTCCTAATCACTCTTTCAAAAACTTTTATTATGTGTGATGTTAGTGCAACTGGCTTATAATTTTTTACCAAGGCTTTACTCCCTCCCTTGTGCAACGGAGCTATATCTGCAGATTTAAGTGCTGCTGGTATCTCCCCTGTATCCAGGCTCTTTCTCCATATTACGCTGAGTGCTCTCGCTACTGGTACTTTACATTTCTTTATGAATATTGAATTCCATTAGTCAGGCCCAGGAGCTGAGTGCATGGGCATATTGTCAATTTCTCTTTGAAAGTCTTCTGAGTTCGTGTTAATATCCGTTATATTATCTGCAGCTTGAATGTCATTCATAAAGAAGCTGTCTGGATCATCAATTTTCATGTTGTTTATTGGTGTGCTAAACATAGCCTCATAATGGCTTCTTAGAATTTCACTAATTTCTTTGTTGTCCTGTGTACATACCTTGAGTTGTAATTAAAAGTCCAATACTGGTGGAGGTTTTTTATTTTGATTTTGCATATGTGAAAAAATATTTTGGATTTTTCTTTATCTCTTGTATAGCTTTCTGCTCCAATTCCATTTCCTCAGCCTCGTATGATCGCTTCAACGTTTGTTCTATTTCTTCAATCTCTCTGGTTAGGTTTATTTTCCTTGCTTGTGATAGTCGTGTCTGCCTAAGCATTTCCGTTATTTTTTCCTTCTCCTGCACAGCCGTCTGCGTTCTCTTTCTAGAGTGGTCCTCTTTCTGCCCCTCCTCACAGGCACGTGCTTCAGACAGACCTTGTATGCTTCAGTTGTCAGTTGATCTATTCCCTGTGTGGGAGTTTTGTCGCTTAAGAACAATCTCCCATTGAACAAGCGAGAAGGAATATTCAATCAATTCAATTCCAACAATAAAAGGATAGACTGGGAAAAAATAAATGTAGACCTTACACTTTCTCCAGCTTTGAAAGGGGTTGTCATTGTGCAGCAGTATTCCACTCTAGAGACCACTAGTGTCTTGAAAAATATCATCATTGGTATAGCATCTCTAGTGTGAAAGGTTCTTGTTATCCAACCTGTCATTTTTCTTGCAGTTGTGACGGCTACTTTATTGTGTTTTTTAAAGGTAAGGTCTTCCGATATGAGTACACCTAAATCCTTTACATTGCTTTTTCATTCAATGGTATAATTTGATTGCGTTTTGTATGTGGTTTCCATTTTTATATTTTAATTTGTCTATAATGCAGGAGCTGGAACTTATCTTCCTTAAATACCATATTATTTTCTGTAGCCCATTGAAAGACCTGATTTACATCTAATTGGAGGTTTGCTGTATCCTCTATGTTGTCTACTCTCATAAAAATGAAATGATGATACAGTACTGTACTATATATTGTATCCTTTATGTCCTGTATGAGGATGAGAAAAAGTACTGGAGCAAGTACAGTACCCTGGGGGACTGAGCTCTTTACAGTTGATGGTCCGGATTGTATTTTGTTGACTGTTACACATTGGGTTCTGTTACTCAGGAAATTGTAGATACTGTACAGTACATCTGCCTATTTTTCCAGTAATTCCTTTTGAACACATTTTCTGTGCAATAACACCATGGGCATGTGTGTCGAAAATCTGTGTCAGTACATTAGCGTTTTGGTTATCTTCCATGGCCATGTCATAGTGGTCCAGCAACTGTGACAGGCAAGAGCACACTGTTCTGAAACCATGTTGTCAGGAGTTATGGAGATGCTGTGATTCCATGTATTTTGTGATCTTACCTCTTAGCACTCTTTCAAAGATTTGTATGATGTGTGATATTAGTGCTATCGGTCTGTAATTTTTTGCCTCCTTTATGGATTGGTGCTATCTCTGCTGTTTTTAGTATGTCAGGGATAACGCCAGTATCTAGGATTTGTCTCTAAAGAATGTGAAAAGCATGCGATAGTGGTTTTTCACAGTTCTTGATGAATATGGAGTTCCAAGAATCAGGGTCTAATGCAGAGTGCATAGGCATATTGTCTATGGCTTCTTCAAAATCCAGTGGGAATAGGGTCACATCTGATATATGATTTTATGTTGGTATCACATCCATGAAAAATTCACTTGGGTTATCAGTCTTCAGTGTGTTTAGTGGCTCACTGAAAACGTACTGATTATTTAGTATTTTGCTCATTTCTTTGTTGTCATCTGTGAAAGTTTCATCTTCCTTTCACAGGGGCCCAATACTAGATGTAGTTTTGATCTTAATTTTGCATAGGAGAAAAAATATTTAGGATTTCTCTATTTCACTGATGGCCTTCTGCTCTCTTTGTCTCTCTTGGATTGTGTACGATTCTTGTAGCTTTAGTTCAACCATTTCTATTTCTCTACCTAGCCTTCTAGGTCATTTTTGAGAAAGGGTGTTTGACTATCAAGTTGTTCCGCAATTCATTTTCTTCGACTATAGAGGGAACGCTTATGAGTACTTTACTTGTAAAGTATGTCATATTCCACTATCGACCGGGGCAGTAACCCAAAAAGATAGGTGAACCAAAACAAACAACTGGTCAGTAAAATTGCGACCTACAGCCTGAAAAGGCAAAGAACTCCTCCAGAAATAAGAAATGAAGAGAAACTAGCAACTCTGCATGCAAATCAGTACTCCCACTCATTAGCGAACCCCCCTCCAACAACAAAGGGGAGGGGGAGCCGGCTCAGGCAATCCCACCGTCTACCCCTCAGTTCTTGTCCGATGTGCTTGGCGGTCAGGTGGTCACCTCAGGACTCGCTTTTTTGTTCCGTATTTTCCCCCTTGTAACTGTGCCAGCAGTGTGTGTTGTGTGGTGGCCAGGTGTTCTTTGTACTTGGAGATGCATGCCCCTGGATACCCTTCCCAGGGTGCTCTGTAAGTACTACCCTAGCAGGTCAGGGTTGACTTTCCTGGGCATTCGGGACTCTCTTCCCATTTGAGGGGTTCATTGCTTGACACAGTCTTCGCCCTTGGGGTACATCGAGAATCTTGGGCTTTCCGTCTGGCCCCAGTAGGGGAGTGTTATTCGCTGGGGGGTTGGGAGGTGGCACCTTGGCTTGCGCAGTCTGCTTATACCTATGGGACTGCCAACGTTTTTCTCAGACTGCCAGTTTGCTTGGGGTGTTGTTTCAGGGCTTATCACTTTTTCATTTTGGGTGTTTGCCCTGTTTTGACAGAGAAGGTCTGCTTAGTGGCTCATTAGGCCAGCCTAGGTTGTATTGACTCCCCTCCTCCATTGTCTCCAAGATTGCATCACTGCTTCTGGTAGTCAATTTGCCTGCTTTCAAGCAGGAAGGGTCTACCGGCTTAGCAAGCCACACTGCCTGGACTTCCTGTAGGATTAACATACCTTGTAGGCCCTGGTAAACCCTCGTGGGCTCAGTTGGTAACATGGATCCGACCAAGTCCATTCTCGTCTTGTGCAATGTAGACGGCTGTTTGGCACTTCTGCCTCGGGGCGACGATCACCTTTTCTGCCTCCGCGATGCTGCCTGTTGGTTCAATGACACTTTCGACCTGGAGTCTTGCGTGACATGTTCTCCGCCTGTGTCTCAATTTACACATTCCTCATCTGCGGATGAGAGGTTTCAGGCTGAGGCGGTATTGCAAGCTTGCTTCTCTTCCTTGCAATGCACCAAATTGGTTGCCCATTTGGAGGCCCTAGAGCTGCCTCGTTTGGGTTTTAGGAACCAGGATTGGAGGGGGGGGGGGTGTTGGTCACTTCAACTTTGGTTCTGTCCGTGCCCCTGCTTCCCTCCCAGGTAAGCTTGGTTTACCCTGTTCCTCACTCCCCCCCCCTCGTTCCCCCCTTGATACCTGCTTGAGTACATTTGCTTCCAGCTACTACACGTATGAGGGTTTCGGAGTCAGAGCGGGGTTTAGACTGGAATGAGGCTCGGGTGGCTTCGGGGGCCGCTCTTTCTAATTAAGGGGCGGGGGTGGTTGAATCCCTTCTTCCCACCGAGGCTTCCAGTACATCCCAGCCGCCTTTTTTCTCAGAAGCCTTTTCCTTGGACTCTGCCTTTTCTTCAGAGGTAGTGGGCATGGAATAGGGCTCTACTCCAGGGCCTGTGTTGTGGGTTCCCAGGGCTCGGGGGGAGTCTGTTTGGAGAGCTTGGGCTCCTTTTGCCCCTGCTTAGGCCCCTTGTACCCTGTGGGCAGGGGATTTTGCTGCATGGGAGAGGGTTTTTGTCCCCTCCTTCCCTTCTGCATTAGTTTTACCATATTTGCAGCATGATTTATGCACCCTCAGGCCAAGTGCATCCATGTTTTGCTTGGATGTTGATGTTTTGGCAGCCATTTTGCGCTGCTGTTTGCATTGCTGCAACTGGCTGCCAGGCGGCGCTACTACTTGTCTTGCATCTTCCCAGTTGTGTTTGTTGTTACCCGTGTTTGCATATGGCGGCTGGGCATTTGCCCCCTTTTTGGGGCATTTCTCATGTAGCTCATGAGCTCTAGTTTTTACCGATGAATCGGTCATTCACTTCTGTGTGACGTATCTCTTGTGCGGGTTATGTCTGTTATGAAAGGGGTGGAAAGGTACATGCATTGGTGTGTTTTTCCTGCATTTGTACTCGTCTTGTTGTTCTCTTCTTCTTGTGCTTGTGGGGGTTGTGCTTCGGCTCTTCGGGCCAGCCTCTCCACCGTCATTCTCTCGGTGCACATTCCTGAGCTTCTTGAGCTCCTGCAGTTCTCCATTTTCTTCCTTCTCTGCTTCTGGACATGTTCTTTTTCATGTCTCGACCCCCTGCAGTGGTGATTCCTTTGGTATTTGATTTCCTCCGGTGTCCCATTTCGGGTGTATTACTCGTGTCGATTCATCCATCTTTTCCTATCCTCTCTTGTCTGCAATTACGAATACCACACCTGACCTAAATACTTTATATGGGTCCAAAATAGGACTAGCTTAAGCTTGTCTTAAGGCCACTAGGCCATGACGTGCCATGGCCTAGTCGTCTAGAGCATCGTGTCTGGAATACTCAGCCCATAGGTTTGAATCCTCATCACAGCTCCCATAGATTTTCACACTTTATAATATTAATGAAGGTCTTAACCTATGTACAGTATATAAATATCAAGTATGACTTGAGTGTAGTATGCACTGACCTCGTGATCTTGAAGTTTCCTGCCCACCACTCTGAAGGTGTTATTGACAGTGTGCTGGTAGATGTGGACCTTTGACAGCCCCGTTGATGTCCCCGACGGCAGCCACTTCTTGTTGACGTCATCGTATATCATAACGGACGCCCGAGCGCTGCACACGCTCTGCTCGCTGCAACCATCAACAAATAATTAGTTATTATTATACTTATTGCATTTGCAAACACACTCATGTCCAGTAATCTATGACAAGAATCCATCTTTGGCAAAACATCATATATTCATAAAGACTACAGTACAGGGCTCTGCGGCCACGCAAAACTCAGAGGATTTTCTCATTGATATGGATCATGTTAATGTGATTTTCTATGTGGATCTGAAGTTGGGTAAGGAACGGACATTGGTTAGGTTAGGAACGGACATTGGTTAGGTTAGGAACAGACATTGGTTAGGATAGGAATGGACATTGTTAGGAATGGACATTGTTAGGAATGGACAACGGAACTGTTAGGTTAGGAATGGACATAAGGTTAGGAACGGACAACGGAACTGTTAGGTTAGGAACAGACATACGGTTAGGAACAGACATACGGTTAGGAACAGACATACGGTTAGGAACAGACATAAGGTTAGGAACAGACATAAGGTTAGGAACGGACATAAGGTTAGGAACAGACATAAGGTTAGGAACGGACATAAGGTTAGGAACAGACATACGGTTAGGAACAGACATACGGTTAGGAACAGACATAAGGTTAGGAACAGACATAAGGTTAGGAACGGACATAAGGTTAGGAACGGACAATATCTGTTAGTAGAACGGTGTTGAACTACTTTGCCTTCACCCGAGTACTGGTGGTTAAAACTTGGACTGGCTCCAGGAGTGGCCTCTAAACGTCATGTGATTTCAGTAAAATTCAGATTGCATGACTTTTTGACCGAGTCAGTGGTGGTAGAGTATGTTGCTGGCAATGCCTTGGTCGTAATTTTGCGTCGCCTCACAGCCCCAGGGGGATTTTATTATTAATATTGTCATTATTAGACCTAATACTGTTACTAATTGTGCCATAAATACGCCTAATACTGCCATTAGATGGCCTGATACTGTTACTCATAGTCATTAATAGGCCTAATACTGTAACTAAAATTGCTATAAATATGCCTATACTGCCATTAGAAGGCCTGATACTGTTACTATTATTGCCATTAGTAGGCCTAATACTAATTAATTTATGTTTTTAATTTTGCCCTGAGGGGCGAGTTTAGTGGGAAGCGCCACTCATCCTGTGAGTGGACACACCGCCATAGCAGCATGTACAACACTCCCCAATAGGAAGAAAATCAGCTGGGTTGATCATCCTGTCACTTGTACCCAGACACAGCTGGGACTTGCTTAACTGTCTCAAGTGAACAGCTTATCAAACAAGAAGATTAATTTAACATTTGTCTAAGACTGTTACTAATACAGTGACACCTCGGCTTACAAATGCCCCTCTTTATGAACTTTTCGGGTTACGAGCCCAATTTCCTTGTAAAATCCAAATCATGTTACGAACTTTGCCTCGGGAAACGAAGTTTGTCGATATGCATATGGCCGACCCAGCTCGTAGTGGTACAGCGACCACACCTCAGTTTACCAGTGTCTCCTGTCTAATGACAATCAGGCCTGAAGTCTTTGTAAAGAATTAAAGTGTTTTACGGATTTTTGGGTATTTGAACTTAAAAGTTATTTTTTATTATATATCTCGCCATGGATCCCAAGAAAGCCAGTGATAAGGTTCAAGCCAAGAAAACACGTGAGAATGAACATAATTAGCAGCAACAAGAGGCGGCTGAGGAAATGTTTTCAGGGGAGGAGGCGGCAGTACACAATGTCCCTTCCTCAACAATTAGGAAGTGGTGTAGGCTGTGGGAAGAAATGCAAACTTTTGTTGAAACGACTCACCCAGAGGTAGCTGTAGTAGGCTGTTGCATTAACTTTTTTAATGATACTGTGATGCCTCACTACAGGCAAGTGTTACAACAAAGGAGAAAAACAATCCTCTATGGATAGATTTTTAGTGAGAAAAATCAAGCAGTGAGCCACAAGCAGGTCCTAGTGCAACCCATCCTCCGAATAGACAGTACATTTTAATACTAAATGTAATAAGTACATTCCTGACTGTCTGCATAGTACATAAATACACTTAATTGTGCTGTTACATTTGCCTCTCTATATATTCCTCATTTTCTATTAATTTAACACTTTAGTGCGCGCCGCACTCCCTGGAAAAAAAGCGGGTTGTGCGCGCGGCGTTCTGGGCGCTCAAGCGTGAACACAAAAAAGTTTATCATCTTTTCACGCTCCTAACATCAATTCTCGAGCTACGTTTTTCATTTTGGTATCAATGCGTTGGCAATAAAATTCTCTACAGGATCATATGAATAAAATGTCACCCAAGCATTTGCTATCCCACCACGAAGTAAATAAACACGAAGATGACTCGCCGTGACACCCAAACAGGAAGTAAATGTTCATACTCTTTCGTTTGTTGCCAGCCTCACAGTCATCCTACAGCGCTTATTTTGATATCACTGAACTCGCAATACAATTCCCCACCCAGACATATGCCTATCAATGTCTAATTATGTTCCGCACGAGTGTGGGAACTGGGCGAAGCGTTAGCCGTGATTTCAGCAGCGACGACACTGGTGTGATGCAGCGCTTTGAAAGTTTATACTTATTTCACTGTCATGACATTATTTCTCGAGCTACGTATTTCATTTTTATAGCAATGTGTTCGCAATAGAAAGTTCTATAAGAATATGGGTAGAGTTGGCCAACAGAGCGTCAAATAAATTTGCGGCGAATAAAATCTTACGCGTGTTTGTACCCGTGAGCGTAAAAAGTTTTTACTTTGCTCATGTTTTTTCAAGTTTATACTTGATTCACTCCGTTTTTTTTGTTTGTATAGTGTTCGGAATAAAATTCTCTACACAGACATATGCATATAAATGTAGAATCATGATCGCGGCCAACACAAGAGTGAGTGGAGTGCGCGATTACCCTCGTTGTGACACCAATTCAATAGTCTCTTATTTAAGTTACAATTTTTTTTTTTTTTTTTTTTTTTGAGATACTGTATATACAAGAGTTGTTGCATTCTTGTACAGCCACTAGTACGCGTAGCGTTTCGGGCAAGTCCTTAATCCTATGGTCCCTGGAATACGATCCCCTGCCGCGAAGAATCGTTTTTTCATCCAAGTACACATTTTACTGTTGCGTTAAACAGAGGCTACAGTTAAGGAATTGCGCCCAGTAAATCCTCCCCGGCCAGGATACGAACCCATGACATAGCGCTCGCGGAACGCCAGGTGAGTGTCTTACCACTACACCACGGAGACTGCTAATACATTGCCGTTTTTTCAAATAGGCACTGAGCCTATTAGAGAAAACAAAAATTTAATGGCAAACATATTCATACAAACCCCAAGTCGATCGAGTAGTAAATACCCAATATAAAACACGGTCCGTAAATTTACGTCGTGATCCGACAAGCGGTTAGGGAAACTGCCCGTAAGTCCAAGTCGAAAATCCAGGGAAGTGTTTTAATAGACTCAATATTTAGGTTGAAGTTTTCATGTTCAATTTTATATACACAAGTTTTAAATATAAATAATTTCCTTTTCAGTTTTATTACACAATAGAAATTTTATACAACATTTGAAAATATGCTGAGTTATTTTATAATTTATTGAAAGGCTTTAGTTTTGTTTTATTAGTTTTATAAAATTGTAATATCAATATAGCTATAGGATAAGTACTAATTGTAATTAACAAGCAATAAATGCTATTTACATGCTTGTCCTCCTACACTCCCAAGGTTAGGTTAGGTCGTGGTTTTCTATATATACAGCTTTTCAGGTAAACTCTAATATTCACAATATTTTGGTGCGATGCTGGCAATTAAGTGCAGTTATGTACTAGGAGTTCCACCTGCGCTGCCGTTGAGTGCGGACGTGTCGCTTGTCCGCTTGGCAGTTTGTGGTCATTGCCGTTTTCGCCGGCAGGGGCTGTGGGGGTGTTTACCCTCCCTGCTGTTCCTGGTGGTGGAGACGTGGCGTGTTTTGCGATGGGCGGCCCTATTCCCGCTGTCGTGCGGTTAAACTCCATCAGATTGGAGTTTACTGGCCGTGATGGTTACCCCCTGGTGGACGTGGTGTTGAGTGACATGCTTCGTGTCCAGGTTGGGGACGTATATGGCATTGAGCTGGTAACTGCTCACCGTGTTGTTATCAAGTTTGTGGGTGAGGAGGTGTACCGTGCTTTCTTACGGAGGTACGAGGGATGTACCTTGCAGTTACAGGACGGCACCGGGTCTGTGACCATTTCAGACCGTAGTGGTGCTGTGACGTATGTCAGTGTTCATGGCGCCCCCATGGAGTTTCCTGAGACTCTCTTCCGGCGATTCTTCCAGAGGTACGGCTCTGTCGTCAGTGTGCGGATGAACTCCCTGTCGTCTGGCACGTATTCGGGTGTGAAGACCAACATTTGGACCCTCGGGATGCGACTGAGGTCGGACATACCGTGCTCTGTTTGGCTGTTGGGGTACTACGTGCGTGTGTTTTATGCCCGGCAACCCCGTACTTGCTTCCGGTGTGGTTTGTTGGGGCATCAGGCTGCCGGGTGTACTGCTGATCCGGTCGCTCCTGTGAACTTGTTCCGTAAGGAGGATTTCCCACCGCTCCCTCTGGAGGAGGACTCCGGGGGTGAGGAGGTGAGCGTCCCGTTCGCTGCTGCAGCTTCCCCGGCAGCGCCTGCCGTTCCTCCGGTTGTTGCCGTCCCTCCTCCGGTTCTTGAGGTACCGTCGGTTGGTCTGCCTGATCCTGTCGCTGTCCCAGCTGCTCCCGTGGGCCTTCCTGGAGCTCCCTGTGTGACGTCACTGTCTTCTCCCTCGTCTTCTGATGCTGCGCCTGGCCCTGTGTCCGTGACTCGGGTCCCGGATGTGCTTGGTGCTGGGGTGGCTGCGGAGCCTCCTGCTGTGTGTGGCCCGGTTCCCCCTGTGGTTGAGGCTGCTGCCATCCTGACGTCGGTTCCTTCGGCTCGTGGTACCCGTGTTTCTGGGTCACTTACTGGCTCTGACGATATCCGGCCGGTGCCCAAACGTTCCCGGCGTTCGTCTTCTTCCTGGGCCGACGTTGGTGACTTCAGTGACTGTGGAGC